CAACTTGACAGCCATTTAATAACAATAAATACTATGAATTAATACAATAAATACAGTGCATTACAAATAATGCAAAAGCTCGGTGCCGAGTTCTCCATGGAAAGTCCAGCTGATAGAACACCGAAATCCAGTATCATCATATTTGTCAATTCTGGAGATAAGTAGGGGCCTAAATATTAAATTTTGTCTATCACACATTTAATGAAGAAAAAAAAGAATTTAACAAACTTGTAACACTCTCTTCCTTTCACATTAATATCCTTAAAAAGTTCTTAAATTTTGCACCTGTGAAACTTCAGCAATTAATACTATGAATTAATACAATAAATACAGTGAATTTCAATTAATGCAAAGGCTCGGTGCCGAGTTCTCAATGGAAAGTCCAACTGATAGAACACCAAAATCCAGTATCATCATATTTGTCAATTCTGGAGATAAGTACATATTAAATTATGTCTATGACACATTTGATGAATAAAAAAGAATTTAACAAACTTGTTACACTCTCTGCCTTTTCACATTAATATCCTTTCAAAGTTCTTAAATTTTGCACCTGTGAAACTTCAGCAAATACACAATGGATAGAATACTTTTCAAACAGCAATACTGTCCATGTTGACCCACTGGCACACAAATCGATAATTCAATGATCTTTAAAACTGTTGCTTCAGCAACAATTTCACTTTGAATTTGGGAAATTATAATTAACATTGATGTTCACTCTGGAATGACTGATATTTGGAGTGAAAGCAGGCATCCACTGTTGCATTGAGTGGTGGAGATTTACTGACTGACTCTCGATGGACTGTCCCATAGAGCAATGCTCAGTGTCTTCATCAGCTAACATAGCTTCTAGCTGAGAATCAGTTAACATCAGTAGTGATGAATTTGATGTCTCTGATGATGTCTTTGCTGGCACAGGATCACAGTCTTCAAGGATACTGCTGGTAGTAGGCTGGGGAGTCTTATGCGCTGTTGGGGAATCTTGCTCTGGTTCTGGGGCTGTTGCGTTGGGTTCTTTCGGTGGGGTTTCCATCAGAGCCTTGCTTAAAGCCTGCGACATCTCACATCTCTTTGAATCGCGTATACGCCTAGAGTAAGTTTGGGTGCTTTGTTCGCTTTTGTGGCAGCTTACTTTCATTATGTGGCGATCTCTGAACCCTGCTTCGGCTAAACTTGTAACAGAAGTAGCGCGTATCGAATGGTTGGTGTAGGTCTTGGATAGCTCACATTCCCGTGAGATGGAAGGCATCAGTGCTGCTAAGGAGTTCTTCCCAACTGGAACTCCAGTGTACCAGGTAGTATCGCTTGCCATGATGCTTGACCGTTCACACTGCCAAAGACACTTACTGACAGGACTCAGCTTCTTCAGGTACTTTTCAAAAGATGCGACTGGACAGAGTGGCTGGTCTAAAATTAGAAACAAAGGTGGGCAAAAATTTATTTTTTGAACTTAAAATTGTTATAAACATGGTAAGATTGTACTTCAATACCCCTACTATACTTTCATTATTACAGCTTATCAGCCATAAAAAAAATGAAATTCTGATAAGAAAGCATGATTTTGGAGTGGATTATTTTTTTTCTTCTTAGGAAAAACATTTTTTTTTTAGACGAGATCCGCAGGGTTTGTGCATGGGGTCAAAAGAGAAGGTAGGCCCTATTAAAGTAAAATTGTTCCATGGGGTAGGGCCTAATAAAATTATGGAAATGCACTTTTTAGAATGGGTAGGGAGTGGTACGACTATCAATTCATAATTCTCAAAGCTGAGGGCTAGGAAAATTGGTCAGAATTCATTACAAACGGCAAAACCAACCTGGTTGTTCTACCATGATGCCATCAGTCACTACCTCCTCTGGATTATCCTTTGAGTTGTGATTTTTGTCTTGCTCATATATGACCTGGCGAACACATCGTAGTCCACTTGATGTTTTTCCAAGAACAAAGTCCTCTTTGGTCAACTCTCTCATGTTTTCTCGACCGCGGCGACATACATGTAGGTAAAACATAATGTCAAATTGCACCTTCTTACGACGACTACGAGCATCAGTAACATCGAAAGAATTGTACAGTTTTTCCAAATCTTCCTCTTCGATCGGGGGATAATGGTTGACTTGACCGAATCCAGTTTTTTTCCAGTTCCACTTGCCTTGCTCGGTAGGCAGTTTCCGATGCCACACAATTTGGATCTGCTACAATGCCAATCCCCCGATGCTTTTTAAGGTGTCGGCTTATTTCATAACGGATTCCACTTAGGCCATTTCTGTGGTATGATGTCCCATTCTTCTTGTTAACGTTTCCAAAAAAGTCTTCAAAAAGACTGTCCAGTTCTTTCACAGGAAGTGTCTCGAAACGAGTGTCCCTGCCCGTTTCTTCGCAGAATTCTCGTACAACGCGGACTGCGTAGTCGGTACAACGTTTGGTGTTCGATGAGTCTTGTTCAAAAGCTAAATCTTTTATTTGTTTTTTGGGGCGGAGAATCTGTGCCTCCGGGCTCAGCTGACATGTTGAGGCTGATGAGGATCGTATACGAAAAAACTAACTGTGTCAGCTCTGCATTTCCGAAGTTCTGAAGGCCTAGGCACCGTTACTACTAGTCAGTCAAAACGTAAACATAATCTTAATGCCGCTCGTCGCTGGCCGCCAAATTATATACAAATAACGAATGTTTGTGAGTGTGATGGTAAGAATAATTTCATGAGGTGACAGATTGAATGTTCTATTCCACGAGGCGAAGCCGAGTGGAATAGAACATTCAATCTGTCACCGAATGAAATTATTTTTTCCATCGCACGAACTTAAAACATTTGTTATTTGTTTTATACAACACCTGAATAAATTCTCGTCATTTGATTGGTAAATTATAAACTACAATTTATTTTGATTTTAAAGATGTTTAACTACCCCTTCACGAAAATGTTTGAACCCAACGCTGTAGCGCTGGCTCGTTGGAACAATACGCGCTACGCTGAACACGCACACCAGCATGCATTTTGCACGCAAATACCGCGTCATGGAACAAGCGCAAAGTGAAACGGTATAACGCATGGGTATAACGCATGGTCGCACCGTGCATTATACCGAATAATAATATGTCACGTGATCTACAATTCACCAATCAGATGACGGGGATTTATTCAGGTGTTGTATAAAAGTAAATACCGTCTGCAAATGCACTGCTCCCTCACTGCTATACATTATATTGTGGAACGTGAAAGTACTGCGGGGTACCAGTGAGTACAAGTATAGTCTGGTTTAAACGCGGTCTGCGCATAATGGTTTGGACTGTGGGGCGGGGACTAGTCTACATGTATGTGATATCACAATGTGATCTACAACGGGAGTGTGCCATGTATATTTATCGCCTGGTCAGGTGATCGTCCTGGGCCAATGTAAATACAGTATAAAGACAGGGTTATGACAAATCTAATTGATGTGCACACACAAAATAGAATACATGTATGTACGTACATAAATGTTCAGTTGGTTTATATTTCAGGCGTCATATGGTATTGTCCAATGCCATGGTGAATATGAATGACCTAACTGATGTACATGTACACGTAGTTGTAGGCTCTGGTGGTTTTTTTTTATTGAATTATTTACAGTGTACACATGTATTTATTGAATTTTGTTGGAACCATTTCATCTAATACTCATCCTGAAAAGTCCTGACACATGTACATTTGTAAAATACATGTATATGTACATGTTATGCAAGTTACAAGTTGACGATCGACACAAACTCAACAAAAACAAAACTCAAAATGTTCAATTGTATTTGACTTGATTTAATTTTTTCATCCTTTAACAAAATGAAACATCTTATCTTGGTCATTAAGAATCTATTCATTAAAACCACTGACATGCGTAAATGTTTTAAATAAGGTACAGTTAAAAGACAAAAAGGGAATGTGCACCTTAAAATTGAAAGACACTACATGCTATGTTCTAATTCAATGGACAGCTAACTATGTCAGGTCAGGAAGCAATAAGATAAATGGTAATTATTTGATGAACACAGAACTTTTGCATGACTTACATGTATCTGTTTTAAACTATTAAAATGCAATTACAGTGTAATAACATAAATAACAGTTGATGACACAAAAAATGAAAAAGTAGGCAATTCAAAATAAAAAGAAACAAGGCCAAGGGTGTAAAATTTCGGCTTTAAAGCTGATTTCAGCTTTTTTCCTTCACTTGCTGTGTATAAAAGTATAGGAGATTTCTAAACTTCAGCTTTTTTACACCTTTTCCAGCTGTTTTTTTAACTATTTTTTGTCGGTGGTCACTCACACCCCTGCGAGGCCTATGCCTGAAAATTCAGTGAAAAAAGTCTTATTCTTACTCTTGAATAAAATGATCATTTATGTTGTTATCAGCTAGACCATTAATCGATAATCTTTTTTTGTTGTGTACATTTTTTTGTTGTGTACAATGAAGACATTAGCCTAAAATCAAAAAATCATAAAATTGGTTCACCGGATGATCATATTACCTACTGTGAACTTGTACCATGTTACGAAGATAAATTTTGTGATGTCATTATGATGCATCAGGTATCAAATTACAAGTAATTTCAGGGTACAATTAATTTTGACATCACCAGAAGAACGCCCTCTGGCAGAACATCAAAGAGTTGATCATTTTGAAATTTTAAAACACTGAATAAAAATTATACCAAATTGCCCCGATACATGTACATGTTTTCTGTGAGCAACCACAAATGAATTTGCATGGTTTCATGATCATAACGTCATCAGTCCCGAAGTTACTGTAGGTAGCACAAATAATGACATCTTAATGTTGACCTTTTGCTTCCAAATTCTGTGACGTCATCAAATCGGAACTGGTGTGTTACTACATACGCCTTTAATTTCCATGCAATATTTTTACTTAATGATAAACAGGTAGGCGCTCCTTTAATTAAATCAGTATTCCTTCCCTTTTTTGACTGATGACGTCAAACGTTTTTAGTTTTAAAGACTACTCCTATTCAGGCGCCTGCAGCCTTCGTCAATGGCTTTAAGCATTCACGATGCCAGTAATTGTCAAATCTTTGTCCTGCAATAGTAGTCTTGCTCTTCAGGATATCTTTGATTGCTCTAATCCTCACATGATCTAGTTGCCGCTTCCCCTTGACACCCCTACAATTTGATTCTCTCATCTCTGTCTTCGAAAATAATAATCGGACTAAGGAGAGGGCAAAGTTGGCCTCTGATGATGAATTGTCCTTTATGTCCGATATTATATCCGAAGACAGAGACTTGAGGTCCATTGTAGGGGATGAAGGGGCAGTGGTGCGATGTCCTGCGATGGGTCGAGTTGGTGACCTTGATGGGGGATCTAGGGATGCCGAAGATGTTGGTGGCTGAAAGCCGCAATATCTGATGCACTCCTTAATTTCCCGGACATCACTTGCCATTCGGCGCATCATCAGGAGATCCCTTAATGGGACTGCTACCATTTGATTGGTGTTGATGGGGGAACTGCTTTTGAGTGAAGACCAAGGATCCTGTATTATAAAAACTAAAATTGTTGTAATTGTCATTATTATTATGATTACTCACACCAAAGATATTTTTCACTGGGCTAACGTTTCTAGACATGCAGTACATACATGTCTATGTGTACATGTGTTCTACATGCTTAGCAAATGCACCACATGTACACTGTACATGTATTTACAATTTGCTTAACCGCACGTACTAAAGTATACCTGTAAACAATGACATTTGTATAATTGGACCAACCTTTAAGGAAAACGGCATAAGATTTGGCACACATGTATAATTCACCTACCAAGTGCCTTTAATTATTCAGTGTGTATCAAAATGGAATGCCAGACGTAGAATGTGTAACCAACATAGATAAATATAGGTATGGTTTCAAACATACGCTTTGCACTTTATAATGAGACATCAAACATCCAAATCTGATAATTAATCTCCACTGTGCTTTTACGTGCACAAACTGCTCTACCAATGTCACAGAGGCACTACACTTTATAAAACAATTTCTTGAATAACAAACACTTTTGCTCTATCAGGCTGAGTTTGCATTAGCGAGAGTGCACTTAAAAAAAATTCTAAATATCATTCCTATACACAGTACTTACACGTGTGGGGCTTGGTCTGTGCATCTCCACTTCATCGAACGGTGTGATATATGACAAAAAACTCACATCCGGGAAATATGGTATCTGTTGTTAAAAGTAATATAGCCAAATTCAATCACAATTTAAATGTTTACAAATATCTTTGTTAACATCAAGGGCTTCTTCATCATGGTAGGAACACGAAATACTCTCAAACCCCAATAAGAAGAGCACTGTTAATACAACATCCTGCTTATAACAAGCAAACTTTTAGGTCCCAAGTCTTTGTTTACTTTTTTCCCATTACTGTTACTACAATGTATCTGTTATAACAAGGTAATTTGTAAAATCCCAAGGACCTTGTTTGACTGTACATTGTATCATACATTGAATCATGCCACTCCGTGTTTTCATTGCATTAATGGCATTTCAAAGTACAACTAATGAATTAGCATTGCTACATACCCGGACTGGGCTATTGCCGTTAGTCTCTGCTGGAGGGTCTGGTCTCTGCTGAAAAAAAGAAAAGAAAATTATGTCAAGGCAAAAATGATTTCACGTCTACATTTTAGCCTCAAATTTGAAATCATTCTCTCAGTATATCACGTATCTGCTCTTTTTATGAAAGAACAAACCAAAATGCTGCTTCCTAATTGTTTCAGCAGGATATGGAAATTATCAAAAAAATGGAATATTGTTGAGAAAAAAATTTGTCACTTTGAGCTTTAAAATGTGGAACAGTACTTGTAAAGTGTTGAATATTTATTTGTGAGAAAATCTCAATATTTAAAAATAAACATCCCAAACGCCACAGATCGTTCGATGCATGAAAAAGCACAACTGATATTGTTTCTTAATTCATGTACAGTCGAACCCTGATAAGAAGAAGCACTTTTGAGCATTGTTCCTGTACACAAATGTCTCCCTATAATTTTTGTTGATATCAACTAAGCCTAATAGGAACTCCAGGAAAATATTCTTTTTAACCCTCCGACGCAGAAAGCCCATTTACTAACACGCTTACAGTAAGGGGTCCCTCCGGGGACCCAGACATTTAGCGCCTTGGTTTGAGGCTACACAACGCTGTATCTATATGTATACAATCTCGACATGTCTGTAGACTATAAATAAAGAGGTCATTGACAGGAAACAGATGTTGTATACATAGTCTGTGGTCAAGTCGTGCACTTGGCTACCCGCAAGTGACTTTGTTTTGTGCACGTGTTTCAGAGTTGTAATGACTCGAGTCAATGACTCGACTCGAGTCCGACTCGAGTCACATTTTTTGGCGACTCGACTCGACTCGAGTCCCGACGGGTAAATGACTCGACTCGACTCGAGTCACTGCGAGCAAATGACTCGACTCGACTCGAGTCCCTCATCAGAATGACTCGACTCGACTCGAGGAAGGCTAATAAGACTCGAGTCCCAAAATAAAAGCAAAACTTACTTGCGAAAAATATTTGCAATGACTTACGCTGCGCCGTTCGCGTTGCCAGTTTTTGTTCACGTCACGTTAATGTTCGCGAATAATGTACGTTTATATACAGCGGCAGTCTGTTTCCTTCCTCCATAATGAAACAACAAACATACACCGTGTCGCGGACTCCCACCTTGTGGTTCTATAGCATGTAATGCTAAACCCGGAACCAGACTTAAAACGCATTTCTCAATCCGTGGTTTCATCATTGGTTTCGGGCGATTTTGAATTTCTTGGTGGAACGCTGGCTAAATACATGTCCCGATTTCACACACAAAAATGAATACGGACGGGCCCACCTTTAAATAATCAGAAACAGTTTTGTATAATGCAATTAGGTTTTAACGTTGTCAGCGATCAGCGAACAACAAAATCTAGACCCGAAGCCAAACCAGTTATAAGACCGAAGTTTCACATCTTCTTATCTGTGACGTGAGCTAGCAATGGAAACTGTTGGTTGGGTACCATACAGCATACTTTATGTCTTTGGATTTCCGTAATAGACTGGTGCCTTGTATTCTTTCTCTCTTGTGTTTGTTGCTTTTTATTGTAATTAAGTGTTCAAATATTAACTCAATTGACTCGAGCTAAATACTTGACTCGACTCGACTCGACTCGACCACACTCTGTGACTCAACTCGACTCGACTCGACCTTGTTGACCTAATGACTCGACTCGACTCGAGTCACTTCTTTAAAATGACTCGACTCGACTCGAGTCACAAAAATCAGTGACTGGTTACAACTCTGACGTGTTTATGGGCAGCCCAGGTTGTCAGGCTCAGATATACCTGACCCGGGGTCACACACTAAAGATGACTGCCTATATCCGTAGTGGGTGCCTCTGGCTAGGATTAGATAGAAGATCAACAGAATTGGTTTGAAATTTTTTTTTTATTAAGGTAATTAACCAAATTGGGTCCCCAAAATGGCTAGTTTCTGCGTCGGAGGGTTAAAAGGAAATGCCCAATGCTTCCCCTATTTAAAAACTCGAAGAGTCAGTACAATCAGGGGTAATAAATACATGTACTGTATGCAAACGTTCTCCGATTTACTTACAAACAACTGCACCTGATCAATGGCCTCATCTTCATCCTCATCAACGCAGAAACGGGCAATCACCGTAGCTTTCTTCTTCTCCTGAAATGACAAACAAGATAAAAAACTGTTGTTTATCTGACCACTTCCCAATTCTATTTCCATAACGTTTACATCACAGTTTCGGCTTCCCCTTTTATTGCTTAACCATTTTATAAAAGATTTATTTTACATTGATTTTAGTAGAGATAGCTTGCTTGGCTAGAGCTGTGGATTTATTATTCACGAACATTAGAAACCACAGAGTAAATGCATATCACAGTTTATACATGTACAACTGTACATTTTAAACTTTAGTAAGTGTGGACACTAGCAAAGTATCTTAGAGTTTTAAAGTTATTTCTGCGGGATATACCCTCATGTACAGTACTCCAAAAACAAACATACATGTACTTGAATGATAAAAAACAAACCTTGGTTGGTTTCTTCTTAGGTTGCGTCGTTGGTTTCTTCTTAGATTGCGTCGTTGGTTTCTATAAAAAAAAGGGAATGAGCAACCCACTTATTACAAGGTAGTGCTTTCATTTGGGTTTAAGCAAGCACATGTACATGTATTCACTCTTATACAGAAATGGCCATCAAACACATTAAAATCAAGCCAAGTTACATATTTTGCATTGGACATTTGTAACTGCTTTGCAACGCTCTTTCAAAAAAAAATATTTTAATACAAATATTAACAACTTTAATTCACAAGTTTTTTTTGTAGTGGGATAAAATAACACCTCACCTTTGTTTTGGATTGCACAGCACTTTTGTTATTTGACTTCTTCGAGGTTTTCGCCTTGTGTTGAACTTGGCCCTTGGGCTGGAAAAAACAGTATTCATTATTATTGGCAATGTATGCGAAACGGGGCAACTCGTACCCGAGTCGACTCGTACCCGAGACAACTCGTACCAGTCAAGTCGTACCCACCAGTACCACCTTGTACATGTATGATGTAGTAGTAATGTTAGAAGATTAGGTTTTCCAATACCTTGAGGAGATTTCTAGAAATTGACGTTAAGGTCAGCTTTACCAGTAACCCGAATTGTCGTTTCAGCATGGATGGCGGCGATTTGTTTCACTGACATGCAGTGTAGCAGTGTAGAATTTAGATTTTCTTCCGTTACTATAATTTAACATTCCAATCAATAATAAGCATTTTTTTTTAAATGTAACGTTTAAAAGGCCATGTTTTTTGAGGGTGCATGAATTTCACTGCTCCGTTATGGCCTCCAAGTACGTAATAGGATTAACTTTGTTGAGCAACGGCGACGCTTAGGCCTTCGCAACCACACGGATGCACGTTCCGATTCATCTCTTCGGGTCCATGCCCAGTGAGTCAGGCAGCTTAGTGAATGGATGTGGACATTCCGGATAAAAGCGCCAAATTGTCCATACATGCTCCTCAATGCCTTAGCTTTCAATTTTTGATAGGAACCAACTTATCCAATAACATTATGGCGGCCATCTTGGATCTAAAGATGGCGGCCATTAAAAACCTATATCTACCAATATCTCATCTTCAGAGCCACTTAGGATCAATGTTTTGGTGTCTAAACATACATTTTCAGGGTCAAGGAATACATGTGTACCATTTTGGATAGTTTCAAATGGTTAGATTGTCCAAATACAGTATTGTGGCCATCTTGTATTTAAAACATGGCCGCCATTTAAAACCTAAATCTCCGAATGCGTGTATTGCATCTGTAAACCACTAAGTATCTTAATCTTGGTGTCTAAACATATATTTTCAGGGTCATGGAACGCAACTTAACAATTTGGATTAGTACTACATGTATTTAGGATCGTGTCAAATGGTCAGTTTGTCCAGATAGGCTACTTAATACGGCGGCCATATGGTTTGCCGTAAAAGAACCAACACTGGCCCGATTCAGGACACGCTTACACAGGCATAGAAGTGGCGTACTTTCTTTGTTCTCGTGTACTAAAATTTTGCAATGTCACACACTAATTTCAAAATGCTCTTATTTTAACCAGAATTAATTTCCTGGGCTGAAATTCGGATTTAATATCCCTTTTCTAAAAACTCTTCCATTTGCGACGGATCAACCCACCTTGGAAACTCCTATATAGTTTTTGAGTAAAATCCATATATCTTTTTCGTGAAAAACTTGTGGGGTACCAAAACGGTATCCCGCAAGTCGGTGGGCATTCCTTGTGGGGTACCTCCCAATGTTCCGGTACCCCATAAGGCAGTGTTTATACGTTCAGGATTACATGTAAATGTCTCCTGATGGGCACAAAAGCCTCCAGGTACTGAGACAGTGCATTCCTGATTCCCTCCCAGCTCTCTCTCTCTCTCTCTCTCTTTGTTACCGTTGAGGGGGTACTTGAGTACACCGTCCATGTACATAATGCTCTGTTCAAGAGGCCAATCAGCAGCTTTGGGCCCTCTCGCAAATTCTTGGGGCAAAATTCAGTGGTACATTTTTGTCATTGGAATGTACCAACATTTTTATCATCAAAGTGAACAAAATGTTATCCCATTTAAATTTTCATGTCAGATGCTGCTAATTGCCCTTTCGTCAAATTCATGACTCATCAGTTGAACTTGCATTGAACTTAGGAACTTATTGAACTTAGGAGGAAAAATGCTGAGAATTTTAAGTAGAATTGAAATGAAAAATGGAAGCTCATTGAAGTTCTTAAACATAACCAACTAGTCAAGTCATCATGAGCACTCACAGAACCAAATGATTTATCCTCATTTAGCCTCAGGTACTTTCCTGAAGATACGTCCTACAAAAAGTAGGAGAAGCTTATCCAGAAGACTGAAGATGATCAGTTGAAGAAGGCTGTATTTACATCGAAACGGTGCCTTGCTTGTCTAAAAGACAAGCCAAAACTTCTAGTCGGCAAGACTGTGGAACACAAACTGCGCAAAACTTCATTGAGTTTACCGAAATATTATCCCGAAACTGTCTTGGGAATAGACAAAATGTATGCAGTAACGTACACCATTTGAATATCATCTCTTTTGAGTTGTGTGGTTCTGAGAAGAACCAGTTGTTAACTCGATATTTCGAGAGGTCGTGTTTGGAGGTCAAGACGCAGTCTTGTTTTACATAATTAATCACCGATCCTTCACGCATGTCATAGATGACAGATGCTTGCTGTGCAATAGCTTTAGCACTTTATTTATGATTTTTGGACCCAATGTACTAGAATCATAACATTAGTAAGCAGCGGACGGGGTGGGGGTGGGGGCGTTAGGGGTGGGGTGGGGTGGGGTGGGGGAGATTGGGGGTAAGGTTTCCACACCCACACCCCTTATATATGATGCCACTGGGTCTGCATTGTGGTCCACTTTGAACAGCGCTCCATGCCCAGAACCTGTCCAGTATCCTAGCGTCCAGTTGTCCAGGTGAAACCCGCAAGCCCACCCCTCCCCCTCTTCAAACAAATTGGTCTGAGATGCCCCGCCCCTCACCCATCACTTATTCAATTTTCTCCCCTTAGGATTGAGAGCGGTTCAAATCATATTTACTGCCAGTTATTGGAGAATTCAAATATCATTTTTTCTTTTTCTATTATGTTATTGTTATATTATGAAGACAGTTTTGATCTATCGGCTACATCATTTTCCAATCATTCATTCTCCATTCATTTGTTAATTCTATTTAATAACCTCATCGTGTTGTGTCGTCGATTTCATTTGGGGTGAAAGCTTCCATTGTATTTCATGCGATATAGTCCTCATTTCCTTCATCTAAACGAGCTGAGACAGACATGTGAAGGCACACTTCATTTATGAATCTTACAATTTTTTTTTACATTTTACATACAGCGTTTATTTTTAGAGCCACAATTTATGTACATCAGCCTGACCTAGTAAATAAACGTGTTCCTTAATCAGCCAAGTTTGTTTTCGAATGTTTTCTCATCATTGGTATTGATTATGCTCTCACAGTAAAAAAAAAAAAAAGAAGGAATAAAAGCTACTACGGTACCAAATGTTTAAACGCATCTTTAACGGTAGTGTTCAACATTGCAAACCTCAAACAAGAAAACTACCAAAATTATTTTGAAATACCTTCCTTGACTGAAGTGAATAATAGTCTCAAGCATCCTGTGCAATCATGGCACCTTGTGTGCTGTCATTTGCAAGAAAAGTGGAATTTTCATATCAATTTTCAAAGATGGTCAGCCGACCATCGTTGTGAAAACTGACCCCTTTTCAAATACTGCCCCCAATTAACCAAATTTAGGTAGTCCACATTTTGTTTGCAATCGGATACACATCCGTTAACGGATGAAAGCCAGCTAGTCTGGTTCCCTGACCTGACAGTTTCCCGATAAATTGCTCCGTTTCGCCTGAAGTAAGGTCAGGAAACCAGACTAAACAAGAACAGCATTTTTTTACAGCATCTGTGAACAGAAAACTTTAAATAGGTCAGTGTAAAAATATTTGCTATAAAATATTAACCCCTAAATTCATCAATTTCTGAAAAGTACATCACAAGTAAATGTTATAAATTAGGCCTTTCTTGAACCATGCAATCACCTGCGGTCTTTTCCTTTTCCACTTTAATGCTCAAATGAGTCGATACTAAATAATGTCTCAATCAATATAGAATACTGTAAAGTTAACATTCTCAATTTTCAGTACTTTTAAGCCACGGTACATTAACAAATTATTAATATCGACTTCTCAACAATAGCATTTTATACAGCAAAAGACTTACGTAAATATGACACTGATTCTACAATAACTAATCGACATGAAATAATAACATGCGACCTGTACTTCAAAATCCAATAATCATGCAAAATTTAGAATGAAAAAAATTCTCACAAACAATTCTCACAAAAGTTTAAAATTATGAATCTACTGTGGGTTTTTTTAGTATGTGAATATTCTTTTATTTTGCCGTATGCAAATATTTATATAATTATGCAAATAACTAATCGTAGAATGTACATTTACAGTGTTACAGTTGAATCAGCATTTCAACTTGTCTGATGCTTCGGTTTAGTGTTGCATCAATCCTCTGTATTAATTTATTTGTTGATTTAGTATCCGATAGCAAGTCAATGAGCTTTCTTTATGTACTGCATTTCTTTTTAAATTTATGGGCTACATTTTGGATTCATAGTCCTTAAAACTGTACAGTGTCGGCCCAAAGTGTAAGTACAGAAGCAGCGCCCTCAGTTGTTAGGACACACCATGGCCTTCTTAAAATTGTGACAAGTAACGTTATTATCATACGTTAATTAAGAGTAAAAAGAATATTCAAAAAATGATTCAGCGTAAAATTCATCGCATGGCTCCTTTAGTAAATGTCTGCCATTTGTAAAAATTGAAGGTTTTTTCAAACATATACATCATCGAGAGATATACAACGGCGGTGTTGATGGGTAGTCCCTACGACTATTTTGCAGAGCGCCCTCATTGAATGTTTCCTGAAGACACCTTTGAACGCCCCCTCGCTGTATTAGGCAAAAAAAAAAAAAAACATGTTTAGCGTCCTGCCTCTTTGACAAAAAGGAAGGAGGAGGCCCTTTTTTTTTTTTTTTTTTTTTTTTCAAAATGGCCGCCCGACACATTTTTCAAGACAACGCGGCCGGGCTATTTTTCAAGACGGTTACCAGCTTTTTTCAAATGGCCGCCACTTGGACTCATTGACTATTTCCACAGCTTTAATCACGGTATAAAAGTCTAAAAATACGATTTCTTTCGTCAGAGATCGTTAAAATTTATCAATTTTTGTCTTTTAAAAAAAAAAAAAAAAAAAAAAAAAGGAGGCGGCTTCTAAAAAGGAAGCGGGCGGGGACGCTAAACATGTTTTTTTTTTTACTTCGCCTTATAACCAAAAATTGAAGCACAATCCTCAAAAACTCAACAAACACGACCAACAATCACGCGTGTAGCACAGAATGCGAAGACTGTAACATGTGAACAACACACGTCGTGATAACATTTGTAAGGCTTTGGTGCAAATCAATCGGAAAAATCATTGTATAATTATCGTCTTTAATAAGTTATTCGTCTTTAATTTGTTATTCACAGCGTGTGAATGAGCAGTTTGCTTTATCCTCAGTCAATGAACGAAATGGAAATGTTACACAATTTAGTCTGTGGATTGAAAAATATGCCGGTCTGGTCAGTACTGATACGAGAGTAAGTTAAGTTTTCGCCTTGGCCTTCGCACAGCTACTAGGAATCACTTTGAAATTTAAACACCTGTATTATTATGTTGTGAGCCGAACCACTGCATTGTGTACATTTGCATGTACGAATCCAGTGTTGGCTCAAGGGGGAGAAGTATAGCTGTCAAGGAGGGGGCGAAGCAGGCATGAGCTACCTATTTGCCGGGGGGGGATATAGACTATCCGCCACTGCCTTTGTGTTTGTTGCACTTTGTTCTAATTTTGGTTTGTTTGATTCCTTTTTCTGCGGTTTGGCCTTCGGTTTAGTCGCGCAACAAACTGTGAAGAAAGTGTAAAGGAAAGGATTGAGGGACGAGTTGATTGGAAGAACCAGAACCACGACCCATGCATACACCTCGGTGGATAGAGTGACTGTTCCCGTCTGAGACAGAATCCCCATGATGATTATTGGCATCCAACAGCAGAAATCCGTCATCACGATCAGCGCCATCTTGATCGCCATTCTGACTTCACGCTCCCTGTGGGCATTCACTCGGACGGCACTGGCCGTCCGCTTGACACTGACGAAGATGGCGACGTAGCAACACAGGACAAGAAGAAAAGAAACCAGATTGACGCCAAGGAAGAGAATGATTGACAGGATCCAAGATGGTTTCTCACCTGTGGCGTGGACAATTTTATCGACGAATTGTTTCACCACACTCCCCTCCGTGATTTCTAGGAAATCTTTGTTCACACCAGATGTCTTTGTGGTAAGAGGAAGGCCGATACAAACATCCGAAAGTCCATATATATCAGAATCAGACCCAAATGAAAGGGTCGGTACGATACTCAGACAAAGTGCCAGAAACCATAAGACAACAATGATGACTGTCGTTGATTTTCCCCCAAGAGAGAAGTTTTTCAACGGAAACACAATGCCAAGGAAGCAGTCCACGCTGATGAGTGTCACAAAAAACACCGAAGCCTCGCTGGACAGAATGGACAAGACTCCAGCAAGTTTACACATTATGCTGGAGCGCCACTCAGGGGCCACAAGAAAGTAGTCCTCGCCAAATGTAAGATCTGCAACAGCTATGATTAGCATGTACACACCCATCATGACGTCTGCGAGCGCCAGATTTCCAACCATAAGTGAGAGCGTCTTTTTACCCCCTCCGACCCCTTTCTGTGTAAGCCTCCAAATCAAGACGGACAAATTACCAATGAGGGCGCTTATTCCCAATACCCACAACACCGCTCGTAGTATGTTATTTGGCATAAGGCTGTCGCACAGAATCAAATCTGATTGAGGCTTTGTAGTGTGACAATTGTGCTCGGTAGAAAAGTGATGCAACTTGGATAAGGCACAGCAGAGACGGTAGTCATCAACGAATCTGAAAATCATAATGAATGTGTATTGAACATTAGGTGCAGTGCATTAACACATTTCTTGATAGAACTGCTGATGTATTTGATGCCAAGGGCGGCGGAACCGGGGGGGGGGGGAGGACAGGGGGCACTTTTCCCCCAGATTTACCCAAGTGCCCCTTTTGCTGACATCAATGTGCCCCTTCGAGCATAAATGTGGCCCCTCGAGATGAAAACAAAACTGGCCACAAAATGTGGGATAATTTTTTTTCAGTAACCATTTCCCAAAATGGTATAGAGAGTTCTGATATGAACAAGGAGTATGAAAACCAAGCCCCAAAACCCTTACAATGCGCCCTGAAAATGGGCACATCATGCGTAGTTTGCATAATGGCCGGTTTTGAAGAGCGCCCCCTATTTCGGAAGATAGTACCAGCCCCCCCCCCCCACACACACACACACACACCCACACCCACACACCTACACTTGTTTCACATGACTAGTGTGGACTTTCCATTGCTTTCGTGTAGTTAAGAAAAACCAGTGAAAAAACTCATTTTTCTCAAACTGTGAAAACTCTTTCAACCCAATTTTTTTTCTATGATTCCCTTTAGTGTTTCTCTTCATTCTGCTACAGATAAACCTAACCCAAAAATGCCTCTAAACCTGTTTTCCAGAAATGGGGAAACACTGTGTGGACGTGGGGTAAGTCCACACAACGTCGGTGCTACCTACATTATGTGGACGTCTTTTGTTCGGAAGTCCACACTGCGTATGTAAGACAAACTCACCCAGACACACGCAGACCCACGTGTGTAAATGCCGGCAATCGTGGACGCCCCATTGTCCCTAATCCTCTTTCTTTTGTTTGTACTCTAACTTTTTAGCGACAGCTCTCATTGGTTTTGTACACGATTTGAGATCGTGGACGTTCGGTCAATCGTGGACATATTGTTTGCGCCCCAATTCTTTTGTCCTACGTCCACGATTGCCGGTGTTTACATACTTACATCCACACCCTCACGTTTGTTTAATGTGTAAATCGAGGATTTTCCTATTTTTCCTCTTCCCTTTTCCTTTGTTTATACTCTAATTTGTTTGCAACAGCTCTCATTGGTTTTGTACACGTTTTCTTAGCGAGGTCGTCCTCGATTTGGTTCCTGTCCTCAATTCGATGATGTTGCACGTGTGTGTGCTCGATTTACACCATAAACACGCACACACACAGGCATGTTTGTTTTACATACCTAGTGTGGAGTGGACATTCCTTTGTTTTCGTGTAGTTAAGAAAAACCAGTGAAAAAAACTCATTTTACTCAAACTGTGAAACCTCTTTCAACCCAAATTGTTTTCTATGATTCCCTTTAGTGTTTCTCTTCAAAATTGCCACAAATAAAACGTAACTCAAAAATGCCTCCCAACCTGTTTTCCAGAGAGGGAAAACCTTGTGTGGACGTGGGCAAGTCCACACAACGTCGCTGCTACCTGGTTTATGTGGACATCTTTTGTTCGGAAGTCCACACAGTGAATGCAATGCTTGTACAAACACACACAGTATTTGATTCACGGAGGCAAAGTGTCCGGTCAAAAAACGTGTCAACATTTCAGCACGGATGTGCCAAACAATTTAAATGCTGGATACGCTGCTGCACCGATGGAAGATGCCTTTTTGCTGAGCAAGTGCCCCTTTTTGGTGATGTTTGAAAACCGTTTCGCCGCCGCTGTTTGATGCTCTCGTGAATCGGTACGAATTGGGTACCGAAAAACATCACTTTCCCAAGCACTATCTGTGCATGATAAAACTATTACAATCGATTTTACTTTAAGAGCAACTAAATGACTTACGCGTGTTGCAAGGCTGGTAACCCATCAGAGGCGACTTTATCAAGCTTAGTCAACGTGCCTGATATATTAAGCAGGCGACTGAAAAAGATCAGACGTTAAATATTGTCTTTACATTTTGCCAATATAGGCCTTGGCCTTCTCGAAACCCATATATTCTAAGCAACTGGCATACTATTTTCTTTCATGTTAACTGTCTTTCAAACATGTTCATGTGTTCAACCATTGATCCGCAGGCTCGTTATAAACAAATAGTAAAGTTGGCCAATTTATATTTAATAGCCTAAAATTTACCTTACAACTAGTGTTTGGACTCGATAGGAAACATCGACATTGTTTTTATAAGGTTGCAGATATAAGTTTTGGGAAATCTTATTGGACATCTTTTATCAGTTTTCTGGAATTGCCATCACTTATATTATTTTTGTATGATAGCAATACATTGTAAAAATCCTCATTCATGGGAATTGCAAAGTTTAAATGGCTTAATGACGAAGTTTTAACAAATATTTGTAGAATATCAACCCAGCATACTAACTTACCTTGATAATAAAACGTACGTAAAATCCCAATTTCCAATTACACTCACTGATTCAGGCCTTTTTTGTTTAGCACAACGTGTCCCTTGGCAGAAATGTCTTTACCAAACCCTTTAAAACTCGCTGTGCTTGTGCAATATCTACATTTTGCAAACTATAATTAAAAAAGGAGCCGTAAAGACATTGCCCACGTCCAAATTAAAAATATGATTTAAAAAATTGCTTAAAAAACTCTCTCTTTTTTTAGCATGAGATTGATATATTTTTTAGTGTAAGATTGGTTCTCGTTTAAATAGCTTGAAATGCAAATGGAGCTTTTAGTGTCTCTTTTTGACATCAGCAACAATATCCAACTTACAGGGTTTCGAGACTGGAGAGTCCTTCGAGAGCACCAGCTTGGATCGACACGAGCGGAAGATTTACCATTTCCCTGTCGAATCACATGGAGAATATAACAAAGCTGAACAACACTACAAATATTTTCAAAGTCTTTGCGAGAGTGAGATTGGTTCCTATTAAGATCCAAATGTGGCTTGCAGGATATATACTCTTCACCACAAAGCAGTGGCGTAGCCAGGAATTTTTCAGTGGGGGGGCGCTGGGGGGGCTGGAACATTTCATGGGGGGGGGCGTCAAGCAGGGGCGTCAATCGCTTCTCAAAAGTGGGGGGGGGGACATACCTTGATCATAACTGATGCAAGCGCGAAGCGCGAAGCCCTTACGGCATGAAAAAAAAATTGGATTCTAGATGTTCTGTGGTGTTCTAAATGCTCTGTGGTGCTATCTGAGGCAATTTCTGACCACTTTAACCAATATTTTATTACGCAAAAGATACATTGTAGTACATAATAGGGCCCATGGCGTCATGTAGATCAATGATAATTTTTTTAGAAACTCAAAATCTCAGTGGGGGGGCGACTGGGGGGGGTGCGACAAGGTGTCATGGGGGGCGGTCGCCCCCCCCCCCACCCCCCCCCCCCCCCCCGGTGGCTACGCCACTGCCACAAAGAAGATACGAAGCATATCAAATTTACAGGTATTCGAGATTGGAGAGTGCGCTAAATGTACCAGCTGGAATCGACACTAGCGGACGATTTGTCATCCTACTATCAAATCAAATGGGGAATATAACAAAGCTGAAATACACTGCAAAATATGTAACTTTTAAATCTCTATTCAATTAAAATGCCTGTACGGCATGGACGTAAATTTCCCATTCCATTTTCATTCAAACATTGGCCAGATTAAAACTGATTTATTTCTGCCATCGAAGCAGAAATGGATTCCCTTGAGTAACCTGAGTTTGCATGATTTGAGAATTGTTAGTATATATAAAGTATATATCAAATATTTTGCATTTAGATTTGGTATTTAGAATGGGAAAACGTGTGTTTTTATATTCAGGGTTCTACTGTGGGTGACGGGCTGGCTGTCTAGTCTCCAGTCAAGGCTGTTGTAGGGCAGGACTCTAGTCCAGTGATCGACGGATCACAAGGATACCCTTCATCAGGCAATTTGAAACCGTATATTGATATGCATTTGAAAAGTGTTATGTTTTTAATGCGTGCAAATGAACAAATTGTTGAAAGTTTGGCAAAAAAAACTGTACTTTGTACTCTTCATATATTATGTAAGACATGCTTTTATGGGGGCATTAGGCAGTGGTGGATTGTGGGGATTGTTAGGGTGGTTAACCATCATCTTCCGTCCGGCCAAAGTCATTTGTGTTCAGATGTTAGGCTGGAAAATGCCAACTGGAGAAAAAATCCCAAGAATCCAAAACATTCGTTAAATAACACTCGTCATAAGATCTCGATTCATTTGCTTTGAACATTTGGTCCCTCTTATTAAATGTCTCTGTTTTGAATTAAACACCCTCCGTCAAGCCGCTTAAAAAAAATCCAGGATCCGCCATTCACTCGGCCGGGTAGGCTTTTATCACCACAAAACGTTATATCTCTCATAATATATGGCCTGAGTTTTTTGCCTAAGTAGGCCTATAATAAAGGTCCAATAATTCGGACCCATTGCATTACTTCATTTTTTCGCAAAAACCATTGCGTTTCATTTCGCAAAAACTAATGCGTTATTTCGCAATAAAAAATAGTTTGTTTCACTTCAAGCCTGGCACGAACAGGCTTCCATAAAACACTGCTTGCAGTATATAGACTCTTTAACACAAACTAGTTTCGAAGCATGTCAAACTTACAGTGTTCGGAGATTGGAGAGTCTGCTAAATGTACCAGCTGGAATCGACACTAGCGGAAGATTTCTCATCACACTATCAAATCAAATGGGGAATATAACAAAGCTGAAATACACTGCAAAATATGTAAATTTCAAATCTCTATTCAATTAAAATGCCTGTACGGCATGGACGTAAATTTCCCATTCCATTTTCATTCAAACATTGGACAGATTAAAACTGATTTATTTCTGCCATCGAGGCAGAAATAGATTCCGTTGAGTTGCTTGAGTTTGCATGATTTGAGAATTGTTAGTATATAAAGTATATATCAAATATTTCACATTTAGATTTGGTATTTAGAATGGGAAAACGTGTGTTTTATATTCAGGGTTCTACTTTGGGTGACGGGCTGGCTGTCTAGTCTCCAGTCAAGGCTGTTGTAGGGCAGGACTCTAATCCAGTGATCGACAGATCACAAGGGTGCCCCTCATCAGGCAACTTGAAACCGTATATTAATAT